CCTGCTCTCAAAAAATACACACACACACAAAATTTAGGCACTGCCTTGGTCTGAGGGCCATGCGGACTGCTAAGCTGTGTTCTCGGTGAGCTAAGTGGAGCTGGGTGAAGGTGATCCGCTCTCCTCACCATATCAGGTGCATGCCATGGACCAGTAAGGATCAGAGGATGTAGTAAAGACACTTTTCCAGGGCAGGCAAATGAGGAGAGGTGGTAACATCTCTTATGGTTGGACTTGATGATCTTAAAGGTCTTTTCCAACCTGAATGATTCTATGTGGCGTGCTCTCACCATCAAACTTTCTTGCAGGACATGCAGAGAAGACATGTTGGCCTGTGCTGCCCCTCCCCACTAGCACTGTTGTAGGAGACTTTGGACAGACTGAAATTGCTTTTCTGCAGGTATTTGGAGGTACTGCTTTACCTCAGCATCTGTAGGCCTTTTACCGGAGGAACCAGTACCAGGACACTGCCAGCACAGTGTCTTCCATGTGATGCCACCTTACCCTCAGTTTATCACATGAACAGTCTCATGCCATGGCCTTGTCTCGCTCTACCAGACATGGCCCAAGTGTTGGCTGCTCCGTCTGTGTGTCTCAACCCTTCCTGACTGTTATCACCCAGGGAAAGGACAGTCGCTTTTCCAGAACTGGGGAGATGTGCACCATGGGCAACAGACCACCGGTGGTGGTGGTGGTGAGATCTGCGGCAGAGATGGCCTTAGCATCTTGAAAATGGATTAAGAGTGAACGGGGTCCAACTGGTCCATCCGTCTGAGTTAAAGCACTGAAGTTTTAACTGTGTGCTTGGCTTCTTGAAGTCCTATAAACTGTCTGTTACAGAAGGAGCGCTTGTAACGGGGAATATCCTGACGTGCCTCTTGGGGCCTGAGGAGCTCCTGCTGCCAGTGGGAAGTCCTGCTCTCATTTTTATTTGCCTGTTTTTCTTGCGGAGGGGTTGTGATTTTAAAAAAAAAAAAAGTATGGGCCTGTTTTTCCATACAGTGGTACTGGAAGCACCATAGCTGCTATTTTTTTAGGTGGACTGGTTCAGATATTACAATAGGAGTAAGTGCTGATTTTGTTTGATCTTAAATGTGAACTGTTTTGAGCTAATCATGATAATTGCTTTTGGGAATGGTTTGGGTTGTTTGGGGTGAGTTCTTGGTTGGGTTTTTTTTTTGAGGCTCAAAGCTGGAAAAACAAAGGTTTGCCAAATTGCTAGTCATAGGGCATTTTTTATCCGGGGCGTGACAAACTTTATTGCCTTTGCGAACTTTTGGGCTTAGAAATGCTGCTGGGTGGATAGTCCTGGAGACAGCAGTCGTTGGTCTTTGTGCCAGAGGTTTGTCTCATCAATGTCTTCGTAAAGGTCTACTGGAGTGTGAATTTACCTTCTACATAACACCATTACAGCCTGGGCAGTAAAATGCCAATTATTTTTTTTTCTAGCAGTTTCCTTGTGGGTAGATCCAGAGATTCCTCCAGGCTCTCATTCATGTGTCTCACTTCTGCCTGGAGGATGTTAGCTCTTGGGAAACTCTAAAAACCCTTAGCAGAGGGGCAAGATCAGGTAGTAGAAGTCTTTGGTGTGCCCTTTGCTCAGTTTGGTGGTGGGTCCATGCAGTAAAGCTTGTGTGGTCTGACCTTACAGGAGCTGGAGACAAAGAGACGACAGGAGGAGCATCCTTCAGTCCCCTTGTCTGGCTTGGGGAAGCAACGAAGGGCTGGCTATTGAGGGCAGCTAGCTTTTGAGGGCAGAGCTGCAGTAACTCTGCCAACCACTGCCTTTCACCTTTAAGGGTGGTTTTTTTTTTGCCAAAGTTTTGGGCTTCATGAAGCAACTCTGAGCAATGGAAGAGACAGCCTTCTATCGTGTTAATAATTTTCTCTGAGGTTGAATGACTCTGTGTTTTTACTTTTTCTTTTTTTGGCAAGGAAGTGACATTTCATTTGGGAACTCTGGGTTTCCATTGCACATCCCTGCAAACAGCTCCCCCGCCAATATGTTTTGGGCTTGTGTCTATACAAAGCTGAACGGAGAAAAATCTCCTGGCTGAGGCTAGGGAGCAGCCAGCATAACACTGAGACTAAATTTAGTATGCACACAGCTGAAGCTTTCCCATTTCCCCCCTGCCCCCAGGCCATAGCAAACCCTTCCACCTGTCCCCACTGATTTTATGTGAGGTTAGAAGGACTGGGTTGAGGCTTGTTGAGGGAAACGGGCACATGGACCTGGCTCTTTGGGAGTTGTGTGCTTACTTTAAGGGTTTGCAGGATCCTTAAGACTAGCCTGGACCTGGCGAAGAGTATGGTGTAAGATGGATGCCGACGTTCTTCAGGATGGCCACCATCAACTTCACTTGGTTTGCGCGATGCCTAATTGCAGTGTGGTCCCAACTACGTAGCAGGAGCTTCTTGGTGCCGCTGCAACTCCAGTGATGACCATGAACATAAAGCCGTTTTCACAGTTCTCTGGTATTTTAGGAATTTTGGAGCTGTTGTTCACTGACTGTGCAGCTGGAGTGTGGGAGGAAGGCAGAACAAGTCCAGGGAAATGCTCGGTGGCTGGGGGAGGCCCAAGTGTGCTGGAACAGGGGCTTGAGCAGATCAGCTGCGATCCATAAAATACATGGAGCAAGTTTGACTTAGTCTCTTTTACCAAATCAGCACTGTGTGACTGTTTTAGTCCAGTTAAACATCCTTGCAAACTAGGTCTACAGTGCGGTCTGACCCAGGGTCTTGGTCAAAAGCAAACCCTGAAGTTACGACTAAACCCAGCCTTGATCTGTCACAGGAGAGCAGTTAATAGCGAGGAAACCAGCCGCTATTCGCTTGCTGAACTTTGGTGATTTATTGTTTTAATAGACAGGAATAAATATTCAACAAATAAGCTTCCTGTCCTTAAGCGGTTGTGTTCTTCTGATTATAAATAAACTTAAAATCTGAATTATTTATTCTTGTTTAATTTAAAACAGGCCAGACCCCATGGGAACGATACCTTCCAGTTGCATGAACTGGAAAGGGTTCATGCCCTGATTCTCATCCTGAGGATCATACGATGGCTTGGGGTGGAGGTTTTTTCCTGAAAGCGCTTGAAGTAGCTCTAGGGTTTGGGATGTGCCCCCTTTCTCCCTTCTGCGTGCCCTCCCCTAACTCCAGGTATCTTTGACCTTAAGTAGGGTGGAGGATGCTGTGAGAAGTGCCTTTGGGTCTCTGGATCTGGAGGACAAAATAGGTAACGTGTAACTGTTGATGGGGGCTTAGCGTGGCCTTCCAGCGCCCTCCCCTTAGGGACGTGTTTCACACCATCTTTGCTATCTCTCCTGGGACCTTTTGGGAATATTTATGCTCCCAGAGGAATATAAAGGGATTGTAAATTCTCAGCAGAGCTTGCCAAGCTGTGGTTGCACAGGCCATGTCCTACCACGGGGACTATGTTTTTCTGCCTTCTGGCCAGGAAAAACAAGTAGCCCTTTCATTTAAGGGAATTTGCTGTGGGATCTGCCCTGACCACACGAGCGGCCAGGTGTTGGATGCGCAAAGTCCTGGTCCCAGGGAAACGCGTGCTGGAAAGAAGCAGCTGGGATGCGACTTGGCTCGCTCTCCCTGTAACCCAAAGGCTTTGGAGGATCCCAGGCAGAGATGAGTTTGTGGCTCCTTTGGGACCGTTTCCATGTGGTTACTGTCAGGGACGTGGATCTGCGCATCGTGTTCCAGTTTGTGCGGCTACAGTACTCAACCCTGAGGAAAAAAACGTTCTTCAGATGCTGCTTTCAGGGAGGACGGTGGAGGGCACAGAGGAAGCAGGCAAGTTTCTCCCACCCCGTTGTTTGAGACTGGGTGCTATTGCCGTGCTTTAACAGAACGTCGCGTCTGCAGAAAACTCCTCCCTGTGTCTTCACAAACTTGGAACCTCTGCATCAGGACAAAGTAGGAAAGCAAGCTGCCTCTCTCAGAGTCTCAGCTTGCTGGTTATAGCAGGGTGAG